CTGTGAAATGTTGAGGAAACCAGGCACATGCTTCCAAAAGTTATTTTCCAGTCACATACGGTGTGCTTAGCTTCTCCAGCAATGAATTGTGACTGCACGTGTGAAATGTGGTCTACCAGAGAAGCTCCTTAGAAACTCAGTGCCCAGGTTTTTATTTGGGACTGGTCACACAGGCACCCTCTGTCTGGCATGTTCCAAAATCTCATACTCCCAGAAAGCACGCAGGTGTTCAGCATAAACCATGCGCCCGCCCTCCGGGCCGCCCCGCAGCTGCTCTGGCGGCGAGACTGCTGGCGAGTCTGAGGCGTCCTGTGTTGTGTGCACTTTGTACAGGGCGTGTTTGGGACACGTGCGTGTGTGAGCCCTTGTTCTCCGTCAGGGTCCACGTGGGTGTACGTAACAAGGCTTGCCTCCTCTCAGTTCAGACGGGGCTCTGAGGCCGAGAGGACCAGACCGTCTTGGTCAGAAGAGCCCAGAGCAGCGCACAGGCCTGGCCCTGAACAGCCTCGCCTGCAGCTCCCACGGCTGCTGGGCGGAGTGTCCCCAGCACCAGGCCCAGTTGCCGGCTCAGCCTCCCCTGGGGCAAGGCCTCCCAGTCGCTCAGGGCCCACGGTCCGGGTGTGGCTGGCCCCAGCCCCTGGCCAGGCTGGGGTCCTTCCCCCCGTGTCCCCTGGCTGCCCAGAGCCGGGCCCTGGGTTCTGGTCAGAACCCTCCCTGAGTGCCGAGGGGTGACTGGACGTCCCTCTGGGTCGCGAGGGACAGTTGTGGGCAGGCTGAGTGCGAATTCCCAGTGTCTGGCTCCTCATTGTTGGCGACCTCAGAGCACTGCCTGCCCACGCTCCTTCCCCCTCGTGTGGCAGGGAGTCCCATCCGGGTGAGGACAGACGTCCCCCCCAGGGGGGCCGTGGTTCTCAGAGCCTGGGAGTGTCCCCCACACCTGACCCGCAGCCTGGGCTTGGGGCAACGCTAGCCGCTCTGGTCCTTGTTGCAACCAGGGGTCCGGCCCGGGCTGTCCCCGTGGTACGGAGGTGACGGACCTAAGGCACGGAGGCCGCGTCACCCCGGAGTCACTGCTCTGCCTGTCACGTTGTGAAGCATTTCTGAAGGTGACGCCTGTCGTGGCCAAGAGCAGGGGCCCTGGCCGTGGCCGTGAGAACAGACCCTGTTTTGCAGGGCGAGGCTGCAGCTCTACCGCACCCAGAACATGGGCTGGGGCGTGCGGACCCTGCAGGACATCCCCGTGGGCACCTTCGTCTGCGAGTGAGTGAGGGCACGACTGGGTGTGCTGTGTGGGATCAGGCCCGGGGGACGCCCGCTGGCGGACCTGCCGTTCAGAGGGGCTACCCCAGCACCAGCCCCCATTGCCTCCTCCCTCCCCTCCCCTTCCTGCCTCGGGAGGCCGTGCCGTCCACATGGGGTGCCTTCCAGGGGCTCCTGGCTCCCTCCCTGCTCAGTAGAGGGTTTCGTGCCCCATCTCCTGCCACAGTGAGAGCCTGGCTCCGTGGCCGCAGCCTCCCCTGGCTGTGGTGGCGGCGGGTGACGCGCTGTCCGTCCCGCAGGTACGTGGGCGAGCTCATCTCTGACTCGGAGGCCGATGTGCGGGAGGAAGACTCTTATCTCTTTGACCTTGACAACAAGGTACTGCGTCCTGAGGGCTGGCACAGAGCTCGGTGTGAACGCGCAGCGCGGGCATCTGCCCACCACCCAGCGCTGGCCCACTGTGCTCAGGCTGAGGGACCCCGACCCGGGGAGGGGAGCGAGCCTCGCCCCTGGACCCCGGCCTGTCATCCCGGGGGACAGCCCGCACCTGCACAGCCACAGGGACAGTGACCTGCAGAGCAGTTGTGAGCTGCGTGCG